AAAAAAAAAAAAAAAAAAGGCTATCTGTCTGTATGTAATTTACCCTTGAAAGGTTCAAGCAATGCAGTAATGGTATAGATACAAAGGCTGAATGGGTATGGGAAGGAGCATGAGAGTCTACCTACAAATAGTACAGATTTGACAGGGTATTTATACATGGGGATTTACCTTTACTGTAAATATATATGTGAATATGGTGGAGCATACAGGGAGCAATATGAAAACTTCTTGAACATGACCAAACACCTTGAGGGAATGAGCATATAGTCTTGGGGGATCTCATAGTCAACTGTCATAACATGGTCCACAAAGAAAAGCTTATGAGCAGACATCTGAGGTGCAACTATTGGTCTCTGCCTGTCCTGAGGAAAGAAAAGTGATGAAAACTGAAGACACTTGGAAACAATCAGTCTATTACACTTACTGACCACAGGAGCATCAATCACCACGACCCTGAGACCACAAGAGCTAGATGGTGCCTGGCTACCACTATCCCTTCTCTAAAAGGAATCACATTAGAAGGTCCTGGATAAATTGGGACAAAAACCTGAATCAAAACTAAAAATCATAATAGATCAAACTTACTGGTCAGACAGAAACTGCTGGAACCCCAAGACCATGGCTCTTGGTCACCCTTAAAGACTGAAACTGAATTCACCCCAGTACTTCAATTCTCTGCCAAGCCGGAGATAGGTACACAGGGGGGACAACATTAGTGAGGAAAGTATGGTGGTGGTGGTTACGTGCCGTGTAGTCAGTTCCGAGTCACAGCAGCCCTGCATAAGGTTTCTAAGGCTGTAAATCTTTATGGGAACGGACAGCTTAATCTTTCTCCCGCAGAACAGGTAGGTAGTAGTTTCAAACTGCTGACCGTGCGGTTCACAGCCCAACTCATAACCACTAACTACACTACATACCATAAAACACCCAACCATTTTAAATCAAAAGGACAGTATCTACCCAAGAACAAAAGTTCAGAAGGATTGGGAAAGGAGGAGGAGTGGAAATAAGAAACCCAGGGAGGAAGTGGGATGAGTGATGTTACATTGAGGGGAGAGGAAATGAAGAGAATGACTTGTTGAATGTAAAACTGATAATCTGCTCTGTAAACTTTCATCCACAAGAAAAAGTTTTAAAAAGACTCAGATAAAAAGTATGTGTATATTCTCAAAAGATGGAACAAATCTTTACAGCTAGGACCATCATTCCCACCTTCTCCATATACAGAGTAGACAGAGATGAGCAACCTTGACATTGGCTACCCAAAATGGGGGTCTTCAAAGGCAAGAAGTGACTAGCTTACAAGCTTTCAAGAGAGAACCTAGATCCAGAGGGCCTGGAAGAAGGTAGAATCTCCATTGAGTAGTATCCAATCTGTCTAGGCGGGGCTGATGAAATGAAATGCAGATAGGTCTCTTGTGATACAATAGTGAATAATTGTTATCAGGACTGATTGTGAGGGTTGGAAATGCAAAGGTAGACTAGACGCTTTGTAGCAAGGAGAGGAGTGATTAACTTTTCAGTCTAGGAGCGGAGGGCCCTGGGACCATCAAGAGAGAAGAGCGGAGTGTGGGACCTTACCTAGAGAAGCAGTGATGCCAGAGATGGAGGCAGAGATGATGATGTGGGAAAATGGAACGGCTGGGGACTTTAGACCCAGAGAGCGAGAGGGGCTGTGTGCTGACGACTGGGGGGAGGGGGGAGGGCTTACAAGGGTATAACCTGTGATTGGTTGATGATGCATGGAGGGATAGTAACCATGGCAATAAATGATATATGATAGGATGAATGTAAAACTAATGTTCTCCCATGTAAACTATCACATAATTCACAATAAAACATTTAAAAAAAGACATGTATATATTCATATAATGTAAATCAAATGGAAAAAGTGCAAAAGATAAATCTGAGTATACAAAAGATATGATTTTTTATTCTTGTAACTATAAATTTGAAATTATAGGCCAGTTAAATAAAATTTTAATTTAAAAATTCTGCTCTTCAGGATACCATCAAGAAAATGCAAAGGGAAAAGAATAAATCTGTATCCATATCTCACACTATATACAAAAATGAACTCATAATGAATCAACAGCCTTAAATTTTAAGAACTAAAACCATAAAATTCCTAGAACAAAATGTTAAGAGTAATGCTTCAGGACCTACTCTCCAACAATGGCACCAAAACTGCAAAAGATCAAAATGAAACAATTGCATACCAAAGGATTTTAGCAATAATATGAAGAGACAACATATAGAAAGTGGGGAAGATATTTGGGAACCATGTATCTGATAAGGGTTTAATATCCAGGATATACAAAGAACTCTTACAACTCAACAACAACAAAAACAACCTAATCAAAAAATGACCAAAAGGATTTGAATACAGAAGATATACAAATGGTCAATGCTACAACATGGATAAACTTTGAAAACATTATGCAGAGTATAAGATAAATCAGTCACAAACGAAGAAATATTGCAAGATCCCACTTACAGGAAATACCCAGAGTAGGAAAATGCAGAGATAAAAGTTTATGAATAGTTGCCAGGGCAGGGTGGTTGAGGGAAAGGAGGAGTTAATGTGTAAGGGGCACGGAGTTTCTGGGTTTTTTGTTGTTAAGTGCCGTCAAGTTGATCCCGACCCACAGCGAGGGTGATGAAAAAACAAAATTAATGTTACTGAACTATACACACAAAAATGGTTGAAATGGCAAATGTTTTGTTATATATCTTTGTTATATATCTTAATTTTTTTAAAGGCAAGTGTGTCAAAATTAGATTTACTTGTTCTTTAACTTTTTAGATTTAAAACGGATCTTACAATATGATCTTTTCTGTGTCTTGCTTCTTTGCTCAGAATAATACTTTTGAGATTCATCCATGTTAATTGTGTATAACAAGAGATTATTCCTTTAAAAGCCTTCAAAATACTTTTCTGTGAATAACTGCCATCAATTCACCTCGCATGAAAGTGTGACTGGAACAGCGGAAGAAACAAATTAATTTACAAGGAAAGACTGACTCTTAGGTGACTCAGGTCATACTTACCAATCAATGCACGTTGTTACTTACCTATAAAAGTAAGCCATGAACAAAACTTAACAACTACCTCTAAATACAGCCAATTCCACATGGGAACCAGAGGAATCAGTTCCTTGGGCTGGCTCATGAAACAAGTTCAAACCATATAATTTAAGCACACAGTCACACTACAGGTCAGATAAACTACAAATCCCAAGAAATGTCAGAGAATTGTCTAAATTCTTTTGGCTAGATCTTTAACATAAAAGTGATTTTTAAATGATAAATATGAGAACTATAAAGGCTTATCAAATAATATCAAAGAATTCAAATTCATTCCTGCATTATCTTCCCAAAAGCCCTGGGGGGTGGGGTGCAGGTTTCACTCCCATGGGACACATGAAATTATATACAAATGTTTACCTAGATGCTCTGCAATGTGGGGTGAGAAGTACGAAGAAACAAGATGTAGGTACAGAAGCCAATGCTACATCTGAGACCGAGAAAGTATTCCTCTGAACAGTAAAAACTGGCTTTTCTAAAGGTTTGTTGTTGTTGGGTGCAGAGTCCGTTCCAACTCATAGCAACCCTGTGTACAACAGAAATGGACACAATGCCTGTCTGTTCTGTGCCATCCTCACAACTGTTGCTATGGTTGAGCCCACTGTTTTTAGCCACGGTGGCAATTTAGGCCTAGAAGCTCCAAATCTAGGAAGAAACATTAACTCACCTGAACATTGAAGAACTGTCGGGGTGTCACATCTGTGTAGGTTCCAAAAACTAGAATGACAAGAAAGAATAAGAGGGGGTGGTTGATGTACTTGCATCACTCACCCTGTTCCTATCACTCAACTGCATTTTAATTATAGAGTACTGATAGATCACAAAGGCGGATTCAGAAACTGGAAGTCATAACTAGGGCAGCAGAATAAGGCAAAAATTTCACTGGAGTTGTGTCATCTGGAAGAAAATCAACAAAGAGAAAAACATGGCAAATTTCCTGAGAAATAATCAGAATAGAAAGGCTTAAAGAGGTATGAAAAACAAGTTCTGCACACCTAGGCAAACCATAACCCACTGCTATCAAGCTGGTTCCAACTCATAGTGACCATGTGGGAGAATAAACTGTCCCCGTAGGAATTCCAAGGCTGCACATTTTTACAGGAGCAAAACAGCCACATCTTTATCCTGCAGAATGGCTAGTAGGTTGAACCGTGACCTCTTGGTTAGCAGCTAAGCACTTTCACCACTGCATCACTAGGACACCTTAGGCAACCCTGGAACACACTTAGAAGGCAATGCAAATGGGGCTCACCTCTGTACTGGTAGAGGTGGGTGCCTGTAATTGGGCGCCGCCACAGCTTAAAGTGTTTCTTATCCATCACCATTTCCCATGGCTGCTCTTTGCCTCCGGAATTTTCGTTCCCTTCTGTTTGAGATTTTGGTTCTGGGGAGTGGTGCTCAACTCCAGATCTCGGAACTCCTGACATTTCCTCTAACCGTTTCATCTCATCAATGGATCTGGAAAAGAGAAAAACAGGCATAACGCAGGTGGTTGGAGTCAAGCCCTGCTTTTAAAATGAAGAGAAATCATTTAAAAATATATATATATTACCATATAGTTTTAAGATTTTCGTTTATCATTCTTTAATAAGAACAAATATTGTCACACTGAAATATTAATAATTCATTATGATACTTTTATACAAACAACACTATGAGGTTTAATTTATGTTATTAAGTGCCATAGTGTCGGTTCCAACATAATAGCAACCCTGTCTAGGGTTTCCAAGCAGCAGCTGATGGGTTTGAATTGCTGACCTTATGGTTAGCAGCCCAGTACTTATCCTACAGTGCCACACCAGGAATCTAAACTGTATATAGCTCAATGGATTTTGTCAAATACAGACACCTATGCAACTACCTCCCAAATTAAGTTTTAGAATATTTCCGACACTCTAGAAGGTTCTAGGTTCCCTTCTGTCCCTTCCAAATAAAACCCCCCTTATATCCCTGTCAACCACTATTCTGATTGCTATCACCCTGGATTGGTTTAACTTGTTCCAGAATTTCATATAAATGGAATCATATATGTATTCATTCTTAAATAACTAACTTCTTTCACTCAGTATTTTTTAATTTCACCCAAATTGTACAGTTTGTACTTCTATTATTCCTTTGTATTCCATTGTATAAAAGCACTACAGTCCTGGTGTGCCGTTTTAAGATAAGCACAGGACTGCAAAGTTGGTTTGAACCACAAGGTCAGCAGTTCAAACTTACCAGCTGCTCCTTGGAAATCCTATACAGGGTCACTATGAGAAAACCGACTTGATGGCACTATACAACAACAATTTATTTACTCATTCAACTGATGATAAATAGTCATATTGTTTCCAGTTTGGGACTATTATGAATAAAGCTGACAAAGAACACTCTTTGTGTGGACATATACAAGTAGTCCCTGACTTATAATGTATTTGAGTTATGATAAACCGTACTTACAACCATCTGTTTTGGGTTTTTTTTTTTTGGTACATTAGTAATGTGTACTATATACAATATTGCAGCATGTAATTTGCTGGTGTTATTTTAATGCCAACCTTCAAAGACAAATATATTCCATTTATATTTCATATAAATGGAATCACACATGCATTCTTATATAACTATTCTCTTACTCAATGTTTTTGAATTTCATCTATACTGTGTAGTTTGTGCTTTTTATAGATATGGATACTAAAAGGGAATAGCAGTGAAAATTTTAAAAATAGATAGTCTACTTATGTTAGAAATGGAGTTGTCAAAATAGGACCCTGTTGTGAGGCAGGGACAATTTTTCCCTTGGATAAATATGTAAGAGTGAAATTGCTAAATCAATGTGTGTTAATGCTTTATTAGAAACTGCCAAACAATTTTCAAAAGTATCATTTAAGAATTTTGACTGCTCCTCATCCTTACTGAAATTTGGTATTGCAATTCTTTTTCATTTTACACATTCTGGTGAGTAGGCAGCAAGGAACAGAGCACTGAAATAAACCACTGATCATCATTTAAAAAAAAACAAAACCAGGTGAATCGAACCATTAAGTGAACTCCCATGGTCTTTCCTCTGTCAGTTACCATTTAATGAGCATACAGCATGGATAACTAGCACAATTCCTATTCCCACTGAGTGGATTCTGCCCAACCATAGCAACCCTACAGGAATTCCTGAAACTGCACATCTTGATGGAGACAGTCTCATCTTTCTCCCACAGCGGAGCCAGTGTGTTTGAACTGCCAACCTTGCAGGTAATAGCCCCATGCCTAACCCACACACCACCAAGTACCTGGCACATAATAAATACAACAAATGAATATACAGAAGGCACTACAAGGAAAACAAAACAAGGGGAAGGCCTACAGCTTCAAGGCATTTACAACTCAGCCGGTGGAACACAGCCTCAGAAACTAACCCCACCAAAAAACATTTAAGGGGGAGAAAATCTCAATACTAAACTATTTAAATAACAACTGGGACAAAAACTAAAACCATTAAAAAATCTATGACATGACAAAATGTTTTATTCTCTCTTGGAGTTGTTGTTGTTGTTAGGTACTATCAAGTAGGCTCTGATTCATGGCCATGCTATGTATGAGGGGGTCCCAAAAAGTTCAGATAAAAATTCCATTAGTTTTCAATTCTATTTTTCCACCAACTCTTTGAGGCCCCTTGCACACCACCTGATTCAGCCCTACATACACACTGAAAACTCAAAATTGAACAAATTAAGTGGAAAGAACTAGAATTTCTGAGGTGTTATCTCTGGCACATGGAAAGCTAGATACTGATACAAAGAGGACTAATTTCAAAGTACAAAGTTATTTCTAAGAGTACAAAGAACTGTCTCACAGGGTTTCCAAGACTGCAAATATTTACAGAAGTGGACTGCCGCCACATGGTTTTCCTACAGAGCAATTGATGGAGTCAAGCCACTGACCTTTTAATTGAAAATTGAGTGCTTAACTGCAGTGCCATCAGAGCTCCTTGGAAGACATTCAAAATACAAATGGGGGTACGGCAGACTCCGTGACACAGATGGAGTCACACTTTCAGGATTTGCTGATGTGGCACAACTCAAAATGAGAAAAAACAGCTGCAGACATATATAATAATCGAATGTGGAATCTCCTAAGTATGAAACTTAGCAAATGGGAACTTGTCATAAATGAAATGGACCCTTGAAGACCAATATCCTGGGCATTAGTGATTTGAAATGGATTAGCATTGTTCATTCTGAATTGGACAATGACATGATCTACCGTGAGAAACTGAAGAGGAAAAGGCTTCACATTCATTTTCAAAGGAGCATTTCAAGATCTACCCAGAAGTACAACACTGCCAGTGACAGGATCATATCCACACCTCTACAAGGAAGACCAGTTAATATAACTTTTGTTCAAACTTACACACCAACCACTAATACCAAAGACTTTTACCAACTTCTACAGTCTGAAATTGATCAAACATGCTATCAAGATGCATTGAAAAAAAAAAAAAAAAGATGCACTGATAATTACTGGTGACTAGATTGTGAAAGCTGGAAAAAAAGAAACAAAGAAAATATAGCCTTGATGATAGCAAGTATGCCAGAGGTTGCATGACAGAATTTTAAGACCAACTAACTATTCACTGTAAATACCTTTTTTCAACAACATAAACAGGGACTATATGTGTGGACCTCACGAGACAGAATATAAAGGAATCACATCAATTACATCTTTGTAAAGAGACAATGGAGAAACTCATAATCAGTCAGGAAAAAACAACCAACAACTGCTTACATACAGGTTTTAAGGTGAAGCTGAAAATTAAAACAAGTCCACAAGAGCCAAAATACAACCTAGAGTATATCTCACCTGTGGTGCTGTTAATTAAATAGGGCTTTTGTAGTCATAGTCAAATGATTGTTGTTGTTAAGTGCCATCAAGTCGATTCCCACCCATAGCGATCCTGTATAGGGTTTCCGAGGAGCAGCTGGTGAGCTTGAACTGCTGACCTTGCAACTCAAAGGCTTTGCAGTCTGGAGCATTAACCCACAGCGCCACACCAGTGGGTTCCAACTCATAGCGACTCCATATAGGGTTTCCAGCTGGTGAGTTATAGGACCTTGTGATTCAAACCAACCTTGTGGTCCAGTGCATTATCCCATCAAGGGGACTGGAAAGCTTGCTACCACTATGTAAGGTACACAGTATCCTAGTGGGGAAGGGATCCTAATCTGGTGACTGGTTAGTTTTGCCATCCCAATAGGTTTAAAATTAGCCACACCAGACCTCACTACCATCAAAGAATAAGAGCCAGAAGCAGAACGTGTCCTTTGAACCTAAGATCCCTGCACTTAACCTCCTTGATCCAGGAGGCAGACAGCTGTGACACTACAGACAGCAAGAAGGAGCGGCAGAGAGATGGCAACCACAGGGCCAGCAGCACCAGGAGACTGGCAGGAGATGGCATGGTGTGAGAAAGCTTGCTGGCAGAGTGGGTGGCCCTGAGCACTTACTGGCAGAGTGGCCCATGGGAATGAGAATAAACTGTCTTGATGGAAGAACTGTATCTTGAGCTTTCCTGAAACTGAACTGTAACCTGTATAGTCTGCGAATTCTGTGTGACCACTGAGACAAATAATCAAAGCCAGCACAAGAGCTGAGTGCTGTGGGACGGACAGTTGGTGGGTTGGTATCAGAAAGTGGAGACATGTTGATTCCCTACCTCCTAGGAACCAGTCTTGGGCTGTGTCCTGGTGTGGCACTGTAGATAAGCACTGGAACAGAAGGTTTGAGTTGAGCCGCAAGGTGGTGTTTTCGGTTGTTACATATGAATGTGAAAGCTGGACAGTGAATAAGGAAGACTGAAGAATTGATGCCTTTGAATCATGGTGTTGGCAAAGAATACTGACGATCCCATAGACTGAAAAGAACGAACAATCTTTCTTGGAGGACAGTCTGCCCCTTAGAAGTGAGGATGGATGGTGAGACTTCGTCTCATGTATTCTGGACATGTTATTAGAAAGGATCAGTTCCAGGAGAAAGACAACGTGTTTGGTAAAGTTGTTCTTAAGTAACATCGAGTCATATCTAACTCACAGCAACCCTGTATAGGGACTCTGAAGCTATAAATATTTACAGGAGCAAAAAACCTTATCTTTCTACTGTTGAGCAGCTGGTGGATTTGAACTGCTGACCTTACAGTTAGCAGCCCAACTTGTAACCCACTATGCCACCAGAGCTCCTTTTGATGAAGAAGAGGGTCAGTGAAAAAGAAGAACATCAACAAGATGGATTTTGTCACATGGTTGTATCAATGGGCTCAAACAGCAATTTCTGTGGGATGTGCAAGATCAGGCCACCTTTTGTTCTTTTGAACATAAGACTGCTATGTGTCAGAGCCAAAAGCACCCAACAACAAGGACTGCTAGTATACTTGTGACCTATTATTAATGTACTATTATCCACCAACATTACACCACGTTTGTAGT